GCCACTGGTGGTGATAATCCGTTCTCAGCTCGAGGCGCTATACGACGTCTGTCACTACGCGATCGCACCGGTTTGGCACCGGCGAGGATTGAGGCGCAAAAGGAAGGCGCTGATATCATTAGGTATCGATTTATTATTGATTTATTTGTAGGAGTTTGTTCGCTGATCAATGTTCGCTTGACTTTAGATCGTGGTCGAAAGAGGATTTGAACTCTGATGTCAATGTAATGCCTCAGCCATTGCATGGTACTCGCGACTCACCAAATAAGCGAGTGCTTAAGGTGAGTTGTAGGTTCTTCGGTTACTTTTGGTCGGTTGACTTACTGATTTTTGCTCCAGCAAAGCAACAAGCCAAAACCGATGAGTCCTGATGAATGGTTACGTAAATTAGAGACGGGTGGTGATGAAGACGACGACGGCACACCTCGACGTGGTGGCAGTCAACGAAGGCGGCCGAAAAAGGGCAAAGGTGAGGTCTCCGTGGTTTCATTTTTTAATAGAAATTTTCGGCGTAAGGCAAGGTAATTCACTTTATCTTCGACATATGCTACCTAATGTATTTTAGGTAAAGGTCCGTCTGAAATGCAAGATCTGCGGCCGAATGGTAACACATCGCGGCGCGATAAGAAGAATTGCTGTTGCATAATTTGCTAATCCTTGACGTCTATCAACATCACAAATCGGAATATCTTTTCCGCATCTGTATTTCCGAATTCATCATTTTCTTCACTTTTCTTCTTTCGATTCGCCCCCACCGTCCCTTTGCAAATCTGTGATGATGCATGCGGTTGTCTGCCTGTTTTCGCGTCTCTTCTTCGTGTATTCTCGTCGTCTCATCCTCTAGTCAGGAGGAGATTGTCCTCTGGAGCACTGAGGTATTTATCGATTTATTGATCGATTCAATCCTGAGGTCGGTCAAATAGAGTTTTATACGTATAGCCAGCTTCTTGAATTTTGTCGCTATTTAATGTTACGCGGTTGTGAATGTTTGCGAGATAGTTATCTGAATATGATTATTGTTTTATTGATTTTTCCTTGCACTAGGTGTTTTTGTCTTGAGCTGCCTATCCTCTCTTATGTTCTGCTTTGTTACTATAGGTTTTCATAGGGAAGTAAAATTGTTTTCTAAATGGAAATTCCACTATTTGCAAGTAAGGCGTGGGCCAACTCCATGCCCAGATGGTATTGCATTGCGTTTGGGTGCGCTCTAATACATGCAGTTAGACATTGTTGCTCATTGATATTAACTACATTTGTACTGTAACTGATCTTCCTACTGATCGATAATCGATCGCCTCACCCCCTCCCCCTGAATGTTTATTGCCTACGCATTTATGTTGCATTCACTCCGGTACGTGTAGTTACGTACGTTATCATGCGCCAAAAATACAGTCTGTGTTATTATTGTGTTATTGATTTATTGATTAATCATCGCATGTTTATTTCTACTGCAGCTTATGTAATCTTAGATTTCCTCTTCCTATGCTGTTGTACATGTATATGTTGCTTTTCGTAGGTTGTGCGATCGATATTCTATCGATTGTTGTATCGGTGACAGTATTGATCGTTTCACCATAAAACAGCGTTGTGAACTGTAAATCCCGCCCTGAATTCACTTCTTATCCCCGACCCCCCTCTTTCCCCCCGTCCTCCTTTATCTCTCAGCTTCTCTGTTTCCTCCCACTCAGCCGCCGATAAAGGGTGTGCGTCTCAGTGTCTTAACCTTTCTTTCCTGTAATCAATTTTGTGTTTTATTGATTTTTACATTGCAGATTTATTGATTGATTGTGATGTAAATTGTACGAGATGATCAAATAACATGTGTTATTGACTTACTAAATGTAATTAAACGATTTCTGGCTTCACGAGTTGTAGAGAAGGATGGGATGGCACAAGTCCCTCTATCTCTCTGCATGCTTTTTT